CTCCCTCTTCGCTCTCCTGGAGAGTCAGGATCTCCTCAGCCATTTTATAGATAATCCTGAAAGTCTCTTCTGCCTCCTTAAGGACAAGTCTTCTACTCCTCTCTTCCGAGGGCAATCTGGAAGATTTTCGTGGGTATCTAGATCAGATAACCTCAGTGAAATGTCGTTTTACAATCTGGAAATTCGTCAACATAAATCAGTGCTGTACTGCTGTGAATATAAAATATGACGTTAGATGTTAAGTAAAGAATGCTCAAGAAAATCATGGGTATTGAGCATATAAATTATAAATACGGATGTATCGGCGTATCAGCGTATTGCCTAAATCTATCCTCTTACTAAAATAGTAGGTATAATTACCTATTAAAAAATGTAATGAGGAATTATCTGTTCACTTTTACCATATATATAAACGACTTTTACCATAAAATCAAAGTTTTTTTTTTAGAGTTTATTATTGTTTTTAGTAACTATACTAATCCAATAGATAGGTATATATAAGTATAATAAGAAGTATAATAAGTATAGATACACATACTTTTTTAAATGGCTGTTAAACATGACAATATACGTTGCAGCATAGCTATTATAGCCACATAGGTATTATAGGGACCTCGTCCCTATGTATACCTAGTGTATACGTATATTATAGGTATATACTATGTATAGTGTAAACGTACTAAGGTATCTATAGATAGTAATTTATTTTTGAATATAGCTTAGGTAGATATATTAACCGCGTGAAAAGTTACCCAGCTACTAAGCTACTTAGCTACATACATTGTATAAATGTAAAATATGTTTAATGCATACGGGGTGATTCTTTAACATTATAAACTTCTCTAAGCTTTAACAGTAAAAACTCATTATCTGAAAAAGTATCTACGTTATTGAAAATATTTAATTTTTTTACCTAATGCGAAGTCACGTTATAGTCATAGCGTACTCAGGATTTTTAAATGGTCAAAGGGGGATAAAAAAATTGTTTTCAAAGTTTTTTAGCAGGATCGTAGTCATAGGCAAAAATAGGGTTTGAGATTCGAGAGGCTAAAACCCTACTTTAATATTATTGAATGAGCTTAGAAGAAAAAGTATGACATTTTGGGAGGCTATTACGGACATTTTTTGAATAGGGGAGAGGCTTAACCCATAAGTCCCCATCTATTTGCTTCTATGGTCGTAGCCCACCCCTACATTAACAACAGAATAATTTATAGTATAATTATACATTATTAAATCTGAATAACTATTAATAATAATAACATTATGCCTTATATATTAAAAAAATGTATATTTAATTTATAAACGTATAAGTAGGTGGATCGTGGATACCTACTTAACTAAAACTATAAATTTTTCTTAAATACATTTTGAAGCATGACATCAAGAAGTAAGAACTTCTTAGGGATCAATAACTACTTTTCCATGTATGGCCGACCAAATAGTACCTATGCTTTTAGTATAAGAACATAAAGTGTAAAATTGTAAATAGTAAATGTGCAATACCGGATTACGGTGAATTGTGATAGTAAATATGAATAACAAAAACACAATAGGTGTGACAACTAAAATTAATTTTATTTATCATCACAGATATATACATATATTAAGAGGACGTGATATCCGCATGTGTTGGTCTCCGTCTTACAAGTGTATAATATAACACATTTTAAGCTGAGCAAAACACGTGTAGCTCCGTCAATTTAATAATTAGAGTAAATTGACCTCTTATAAAATCTAAAGGTAAGATCATTACCTAGACAACCTCATGAGCCTTTTATTATATTTTAATTTTTAAGCGAGATATGAGTACTTTAAGATGTACAAACAATTTACAATTGTAAAATACTCATAGCTCGCTTTAAAATTAAAATATAATTAAAAGCCCATGAGGTTGTCTAGATAATAATCTTACCTTTAGATTTTAGAAGAGTCAATTCACTTTAATTTTAATTTTAAACCAACGGAGCTACTCGTGTTCTGCTGAGAGTAGAATTTGTTATGTTACGCACTTGTAAGACGGAGACAACGCATGCGGGTATCACGTCCTCTTAAGAGGATTATTTGTTTTCTCTCTCTGGCCCACACGCAGCATAGACAAAACGCATTTAGGCAGAATTATTTTTTCTATGTTTTTAAGTAATCTTAGAGTAAAATCACCCATTACAAAATAATAATTCTAATAAGAGAATAATATTTTTGAGGGAATGCCATATCGATTTGTCTAAATATTGTCTCAAAACAATTTAAACATAATTTAAATTTACAACAATTTTTTGTTTATTTTGAAAGTCGAATAGAAAGTCAAATAACAATAAAATATAAAATCGTTAAGTCATTCCCTCAAAAATAATATTCTCTATCTTTTTTGTAATGAGGGATTTTACTTAAGATTACTTAAAAACATAGAAAAAATGATTCTGCGTTAATGCGTTTTGTCTATGTTGCGAGTTGTACAGAAAGAGAAAACAAATAGTGCGCCGACATTAATAAAGGTTCTTTATAATCGTGAGTTTAATATACATTATACATGTATATTAGGGTGGTCCTTGATGTATAGGTGATGAAATTTTTTTTTCAATTTTTGATCGGGCCACCTCTGGAATTTGTTCAAAACAACAAAATAATGAATTGTGTAAAGTTTCATAAAAATTGATTAACCCTAAGGCGTGCCTCAAGAGGGTTGAAGTTCAAAGAAGGGTGGCTTTTCGATTTTTGCAATTTTGGCTTAAAATATTCAAGATAGGTAAAAAAGTGTTTTAACATAATATTTTTTAAATTGAATATGCTATAAAAAATGTTACTTGTACTTTTTTTATTTAACCACTCATTACAATACAAAATGAAAAAACTCGTATTTAGTATATTTTACATGGTTAGTTCATACACGAACAACTACTTGGTGTCCCTAAATTGTTAGTAGGAACAGGAGAAGAACTGGCTACAAACGTGTATCAATTAATTGAAGAATGGGGTCTTAATAATTCAGTTATAGCTGTTTGTTGTGACACTACGGCCTCAAATACTGGTAGATTAAAAGGAGCGTGTGTATTATTAGAACAACGTCTAGAAAAAGATTTGTTGTATTTGCTTTGTCGACATCATATTTATGAACTAGTTTTAAGAAGTGTTTTTGAAGAGAAATTTGGTTCCACCTCTGGGCCCAACATACAACTTTTTAAAAAATTCCAAGACAACTGGATCAAAATAGATACTGTAAAATTTAATCCAGGAATAGAAAATGATTATGTTAGCCTAATATTATGCCATAATGTCCAACAACGTGTACTTGATTTCGCCTTAACTCATTCTAAAGAAAAACAGTTTAGAGAGGATTACAGAGAGCTGTTTAGAATTGTCCATAATTTTTCTTGGGGGAATTCCACATCGCGGTATATCATTTAGAGTTCCTGGAGCATCTCATCACGCTCGATGGATGTCTAAAGCAATATATTGCTTGAAAATATATATTTTTAGAAAACAATTTCATATGACCAAAATACAAGAAAACGCATGTCGTGATAGTTGTATTTTTATTATATCCGTTTACATTGAAAAATGGTTTCGTTCACATGTTGCAATTGAAGCTCCATACCAAGATATTTTATTTATTCAGTGTCTGATTAAATATGAAAATATTGATAAAAAAATATCAAATATTGCATTGAAAAAATTTTGTGGTCATTTATGGTATCTAAATCCTGAAGCGGCAGCATTTTCATTTTTTGATTCAAATATTCCTTTGCCAATGAAAATAAAAATGGTAGATTCACTTAAAATTCAAGATGAAAATGAAAATATTGTTAAACGTTTTATTAATCCGATAAATAATTTAACATTGTTAAAAAGTTCACAAATTTCTGATTTCATCAACAGTTCATCGATGAAATTTTTTGAAAGGTTTAACATAGATACAGATTTTCTTAACCAAAATCCAGAAGAATGGTACAAAAATGTCAACTATCAAAAAGGAATATCTTTACTTAGTCAAGTTAAAGTTGTAAATGATGCAGCTGAGAGGGGAGTGAAATTAATAAGTGATTACAATGACAAAATTACTAAAGACGAGGAACAAAAACAATTTTTGATGCAGACAGTTTATGACTATCGGCGTAAGTATCCTGATGCGAAACGAAGTACACTTTCAAAAGAAATTTGATAATCGAATACAATTTAAAATTTTAGATTATAAGTTTTAATTTAAATAATATACTTACTATATAATTTTATTTATAAAACTGTTCTCCTATATATGTATTTTTAAAATAAATTCATTGCTTAAAAATAATGTAATGTACATTTTTTTTTATTAATTACAATAATTTTTGAGATATATGAAAAAAATGAAAATACGCCCTCTGAAATGAAATTTCAACCCTCTTGAGGCACGTCTTAGGGTTATACTATCGTTGCCAAATTACACAAATATTATTTTTTTATAGTTTAGTTTCAAATTTGATCGTGGCGCAGTTAAAATTTTGATCTTTATTTTTAAGGACCACCCTAATGTATATATTATGTGTTTATCATGCAAAAACATTTCATAATAATATTATCTATCAAGATAATACTGCAAATATAAAACAATATTCTATGATAAAACATATGTTACCATTAAAAAGCGCATGCGCCTTATCAGTACGTGCATAGTCTTATCATTGTTGGTAATTAGCTTTGGTTCATTATTATAGTTATTACTTATTACTATTTCGTTGTCTCGTACTCTTGTTTTCTCGTTTCTCGGTAGTAGACGTGTTGGTACTTGAGTTTTGCATGCATTCTCAACTTAACATAAATTATTACTCGACAGACGATTGTATTATTGACTTCTGAACCTACTATTGGCGTAATCCATTTTTGAGTATCGATTTCATTAAATATATTTTATTATTACTTGGTCATTGATAAAGAGACAAATATAATATATTGACGATCACACTCTCACAATGAATATATTGTAAGTAAAAATACGAAAACACTGGTTTACAAAATAGGTAGAAATGGCTGAATGTGAATTACGGCAAAGAAAAAAAGAAGACGATGGAGAAGTTAATCTCCAAGAGGATAAAGAAGAAATAAAATCTGCTGAACAGGATCAAGTTCATAATGAAAACAAACCAGAACCAGTAAGATTCATATTTGTCTATGTATGTCTGTATTCACAATTGTCTAATATTTTGATGAACTTAATTATTTAGTTATTACTATTATTAGACTATTGTAGAATAGACATTGTACAGTTTATGTTATGTAGGTAGTAGAATTGTAGAAATGGTCAAGTATCTAGTAATATGTTATATTTTAGTTTCTTTAATGGTATGTGCACTTAAGTCATCAGTCATTATTTACTCATTACAATATTTATATACTTCATATTATAGTCATATAAGGTATACAATATATAATATTAGTTAAATGTAATTATCATCTGGGAAATTTATTTTATAATTATTCCTGAATTCAATGTTTAGGTTTTTAAAATGTGAAATATGTAGTAGGAACCTTAGGTATAATAAATAACAATATTTGTAAAATTTCATTAAAAATATATTATTAGGTATACCAAATATATTTCATTCATTTACCATTATGGAAACTACATAACTTAATTTCATCGTTTAAAAGGAAAATGTAATTACCTTCTTAAAAAATAATACATAGTCTTATACCCTGTTTATTTTATCTTCATTACCATTAAATTATAATTATATACCCAAGTTATACTATATAGGTATTTAAAATTGTTTTAAACATAATATAGGTAAACTCTATAAAGAATGTAGGTACATTGTTGAATAAACAATTTTTTAGGTAACTTATAATTGGATGTGTTTTATAACAATTTCATTGTATTATGTGTTAATTATATAGATGAATCTTCTAACTTTTGGTGAAACCTATTCAATGTTTTCATCTTGATATTTACCCATATAATTTTAAATAATACTTATTTATATGTCAGTTAATTATTTCAGTTAAAATGATAAGTTTTTATAAACACATTTAGGCTATAATTCAGTAAACAATTTTTCAGATTGATGATTGTATTCAGTCATGTGTTGTGACAAATACTATGCCGCATTTGGTTAGGCGTTACAGGCCAGTTCATAAGATATATAATGCTTATCAAAATTTACGGAAATTAAAAGGTCCTAAACATTGGTACGCGGGCTCAAATTATTTCAGTAACCAAGCCTCATTCAATTTCCGAACAAATAATTATCGTAGGTCTAAAGTAAGTTTTCTGCTCAAATATTTTTGGGTAAACATTGGATGTGGCATGATCCTGGATACATGTACATGGTGATGGTACAAGTATATTACATGCTTATTATGGATTTATAAGACTCCAGTTATTCATATTTAAATGGTTTAAGTTTATGTTTATTAATTAAATTAGGCCTAAAATTGAAATCATAATTTTTCTCTGTACACTAAAATATTGTATCTATGAATCTAAGCACCAAAAATAATTGATTTTAACAACAATTGTATGCAAACCAATAATATTTGTTGGTTTAAAAAACTTGATGCAATAATGGTTATTCATAAACAATAACAATTTTACATTGGCTTAAGAGTTAATAACTTATTAATTTTCACTATTAAATTTTTGCATGAAAACGCTTCAATAAATTGTTTTAACATTTAAAGCTAGTTAGATCACTTCCGCTTCAATCAAATTAATATTAATATTTATATACATATACATAACCAAATGAAATGTGTGAAACTAATTTAAGTTTATATTTGTTTGATCACATCTTAACACAATAATAATATGTAACAGTTATTTAAAATAATTTATTAGGTACCATTTTTTTTTTGTTATTGATATATTTTTAACAATCAATTTTTCATATATAACTTAGGTTACTTAGGTATTTTTCATTTCTAACACATTATTAAGTGTAGTTTACATTAAAAGATAATTTATGCTTTACATTGAAAAAATAAAACTATTATAGACTATTATACATTGCATAGTATCTTAAAATAATTTATTATAATGATTTTATTTATTAACATATTTGAGAATAATATACTGCTAACTCACAAATACAAATTGTAATAAATCAAAGTTCTCAATAACTGAAAAAAAATTCTTATTAAAATGTATTATTGAAGACTGAGTTATTTAGAGTTCACTACCTATATTGATTTTTATTGACATTAACTTATTACATTATTAATTTATAATTTAATAGTATCTATTTTAGAAAATATTAAAGAACTATACAAAGGGAGTAGGTAATAAATATTTATGTGTATTTTAGTTTAATTAACTGGTGTTATTAATTTATTATGTATACATTTGTTTGTGTTTATAATTTTAAATAATAGTAAATATGTTTAAAAATGTTACTTATGAAATCTATGTTTATAATTATTAACTTTTATATTTAATTATATTTAGATAATTAATTTATATAAATATAGGTATCTACATTTGTTTTATTGTTATTTATTCATTCATATACATGGTGTAAAGTTTACACTGTAAACAGTGATCTTCCCTGCTTATTCAAATAGTTAACACCAAAAATCACCTTGGGCCAATCTGTATAAATATAATTTATTTATAAATACATTTTTTTTTGTTAATAGAAAGAAGATTTTGACTCTGAAGATGATAAAAATATAGATATTTCAGCAAAAATACCATCTGGTACCAATAAAATGCCACAAATATTAGAAACATTATTAAGTGGAATATCAGAAAGGCAAGGAACTTTTGATTAATTGCATTAAGCTTAATTATATAATATTAATTATTACATTTCTTATTAGGTGGAGAAATTGGATAATTCGAGGTATATTTGGCTGGCTTATGATTGGCCTTTTTTGTCTCTTATGTTATGGAGGACCTCTTGCCTTAATGATAGCTGTATGTATTTTAAAGCATTTATATTTAAGTTATATAATCACAAAGACAATATAAATCAATATTCTATTTATACGGCTTCATGATTGGCCTATTCATTAATTTAATTTTATATTTGAAGAGTGGTCAAGGTTGAAAGATTTTTTAAATTATTAAATATGGACTTGCAATAATAACAATAATAATCGTAATAATAAATAACAAAACATGTTAAAAGTCAATCCAATTAAATTAAAAGTGATAATAAATGTTTATTTGCAATTGGTACCTACTACCTACCTCTATTTAGTATAAACAATTATACATAAATTAATTTTATTAAAAAAAAACAAATTATTTGTATTTATATAGATAGTTCATGAACTACAAGCATATTCATGTAATGAAAGACATTTTTAGATAGTTTTGTTGTTTCTTTGTATATAAAGGGCATTAACACATGTCTTGGCATACTTTCAATAAAAACAATAACTAAGTAAAAATAAGTCAAGAAATGCGTGTTCATTAAAATCAACACCTAAGATTTATATTATATTCTATATATTATTATTTTGATTATTTACTAAACACTAAAGAACTAAATTTAAAAAAAAACATACCTTAATTATAATTTATACTATAAATATTAAATAATGTTTAATAATATAAATATATATGTTTATAATATAAACTTTTGGCATTTTATTGTTTTATGCAAATAAAACTTTGTATTTGAAGTTTATATTAATATACTTACTTCAGAAAATAGTATATTCAAATTAGTATTAATATAATAATAATTTAGTAATCATATTTAAGTATACGTGTTTACTTTTTAATAATTTGTCGTTTGTTTAAATTATGATTTTCATTAGGTAATTAATCTTTAGTTACCTTTATAAATTATAATGTACCTATTTGAAATATTTAAATAATAATTACCAACAATTTATATTTTTAAAAGGATAGTTTAACCATACATTTTGACTTAAAATCTTACATTACGAAATACTAAATAATATTCATTTTCAACGAGTTTACTAAAAGTTCCAATATCTGATAATAATATGTAGTATGTATTATGTATCCAATAGTTTGTAAAAGTGGATAAAAATTAATAATTATTTATAAATTTAAATTAAATGATCTTTACTCAAACCTATAACTGCTCATTTTAATGTATTTTAATTAATTACAGGTTTTAGTAGTTCAGGTCAAATGTTTTGAAGAGATAATTAACATTGGTTATTCGGTTTATCGTATCCATGGTTTGCCTTGGTTTCGTTCTTTATCATGGTATTTTTTGATGGCATCTAATTATTTCTTTTATGGTGAAAGCCTTGTAGACATATTTGCTGTGGTAGTTAATAGAACAGTAAGTTTTAAATAATATTTTACTTTTTACCATTAATAGTTATTTTATTATTGATAATTTTAATTTAGGAATATTTGAAAATGCTAATAACTTATCACCGGTTCGTTTCATTCAGTTTATACATTGCTGGTCTAGTATGGTTTGTGTTATCATTGGTGCGCAAATACTACATGAAACAGTTCTCATTATTTGCTTGGACACATGTGTGCCTCTTGATTGTTGTATCTCAAAGTTATTTTATTATTCGAAATATATTTGAAGGGCTTATATGGTATATACATTATTAAATATTAATAAGTATTTAAACATTTTTTTTTATCAAGTTAATTATATATATACATAAAGATTAAAATTAATTTGTTACCTAATTGAATGTATAAGTTTTTTTTTTTTAAATTTTAGGTTCATTGTACCAGTATCAATGATCATACTTAATGATATTTGGGCCTACGTCTTTGGCTTTTTCTTTGGACGAACACCGCTTATACAAGTATCACCAAAAAAGACATGGGAAGGTTTTATTGGTGGTGGTGTAGCTACTGTGATTTGTGGTATAATAGTAAGTTATTTTAATTTCTTATGATTAAAAAAAAAAAAATGCAATAAATTAACTTTTGGAGTTATTATCAATATTGGTTAACATACTTAAAAAAATAATCATAATTTGACTCATTACTTTGAGATAAAAGTAATAAAGTAACATTACTTGTTACTCAAATACTACTGTAATTAAATCCTTACTTTTCAATAAAAATAATGTAACTGTTACTTTTAGCATTGATTTTATTATATACAGATAACTGATAAGCCACTATTGTTAATATTGGAACTTGGAAGCGGATAATTGCATTCAACCGCTTACAATATTAACAATAGGATGGTTTATAAATTGTCTATATATTATAAAATCAATGTTTTCACGTTAAAAATAATTACATGAGTATATCTCTACTTTCTTACCTAATGAGTAATTTTAATTGACAATGTTAGTGGAAATAGTGTATCAATTTAATTTTAACAAGAAATCAATAGAAAAACTCTGTATTTTGAGAAGAGTTGGTTAAATAAAGTACAATACCTATTAGTAAATATGTTATATACAACATTTAAAACTAAATTGTGATATTTTTACAATAATTACATAATACAAATGGGTACCACTCTCTAAAACTATGTCTAAAACTATATGGAATCGCGTTATTGAAACAAAATATTGTCTAAGGACGGGCCAGCCCCTAATACATATTAACCAATTGCTTATTAGAAACAATCTGTTAATTTACATAATTCACATAGGTCGTCCAATAGTGTTCTAATAAGTGGCTTCTACTGTAAAATCATAAAAAATTATAATACCGATTTATTTTTTATTTTTATTTTAGATATCATATTTTCTATGTCAATATCCATACTTTGTATGCCCAGTTGAGTACAGTGAAAAGTTTGGTAAAATGATTATTGATTGTGAACCTTCGCCTTTGTATACCCTACATGAATATGTTCTGCCAGAATTTATTGCACGTGCTATGAGTGTAGTATGTATAAAAATAAATTATGTTAAATATACAATAACTATGTTAAATATATTAAGTTGTGTAATATTATTTACTTAAAAATATATATGTATAATCACTTATTTAAACTTTGAATTATTTAGTTTGGAGGTTCCAACAAAATCACTATCTATCCCTTTGTTATTCATGCATTTTGGATGTCATTGTTCAGCTCCATTATTGGACCGTTTGGTGGATTCTTTGCTAGTGGATTTAAACGAGCATTTAAAATTAAAGTAGTTCACTTATAAAATGTTTAATTACTAGTTGTTATTAATTTTTTTTTTTTTAGGATTTTGGAGATGTGATTCCAGGACATGGCGGTATTATGGATCGTTTTGACTGTCAATATCTCATGGCCACATTTGTTAATGTTTACATTTACAGTTTTGTGAGCACTCCTACCTTACAAAAGACTGTTCAACAGGTACTTATAAAATAAATGTTCTATTAAGAGGACGTCATACCTGTCCCCATCTTACAAACACACAACATAACAAATTTAATATTCACAATAATCCATTTAATACTGTTATTGTTAATTCTAAAGTGAATTGATCAATTATAAAATATTATTTAGGGCACCATGTTTGATTTTTTGATATTATAGTTTTAAAGTGGTCTCTCTAATATTAAAAACAACAAAATTAATTATAAAATGGATTTTTCTGAAATTAAAATTTATTGTTTTACACTTGTAAGTTTGATACAACACATGGGTATGGCATCCTCTTGAACATATTATAATAATTATTAAATTATTCATTAAATGTTTAGGTAATTAATTTACGACCCGAAGAACAGTTACAATTATTTTACGTTCTCAAAGGATCATTGGAAAACCGGGGAATTCTCAATGTGCAATAAATATAAAAAAAAATCATAGTCAACCAGCAACCTTCACATTCCTTCTTTCAAAATCAATATTAACTTAAAAACAATTGTTTTTGGAAAGTTATGTTTAATTTGCCTTATGTTCTTGATGTGTACTTATTAAAACATTCTTTGGCCTATTTGATATATTTTATCAAACAGACTTCTCTGCGTGAATTGCAGATACTTTTGTATAAAAATCAGTATGTTATTTAATTTGTTTAGTTAAAGTTTGTTTAGTTATTTTCAATGTTTTGATTTTTAATTGGATTTATTGATTGTTGTAAAACACTGAATATCACATTCTCCATAAATCAGTATAAGTTGAGAAATAACACTTTCACATTCCTTTTTAAGATGTCATCTACTCCGTCAATAACTATATAGAAATTATTTGAAACAGAGATAATGATAGAATGTGTAATTCTTCATGAAACTGTATATATTGATAGTTATTTTACATTTTTATTGTCGTTTTATTGAATTTTGTTAATTGTTTTGTGAGGATGTAATAAATGCATTATAATTTATAATTTATGCTATAAATAGGGAGGTGTGTGACGGTTAAATTGTGTTAATTACATGTACATTTTGAAAACAACACATTGGTTGAAACTAGAGTTTGACTACGTTTTTAATCCATAATATTATAATCAACTACCTATTATCGTTTTCTGTATAACATACCTACCTATATTATATTTTTCTTAGTCGGAAAATCATCTGTTATATTATAACAAAACTATTAGTATTGAATATTGATCGATTTAGTATATTACAATGTGTGCATCTAATTTATTGTTCTTTAAATAATAAAGACATTTATTTATTCCTAAATAATTATTTGCTTTAGTATTTTATAATATTAAACATCCAATATTTATTTCAGATTCCAAACGGTGTGTAAAAGCTCTTGCAATGATGCTTTTTAATTTGGTTTATTCTTTGAAAGTAATAAATAAAACATCGGGGAAACATCAGCAAAATAAATATGTAAGCCAGGCATATATATCAACAAACTAAATGTCTCTGTCCAGAGTCTCAGATTATATCGTTTTTCGAATACGACGATATTTATAATATACACGTGGCTTACACGATTGACGACCCCCCCCCCCCCCCCCCCCCCCCAGTGACTTAACACCCCTAACGTATCTGTCACTTGTTTCGTTTTAGTTGCTATGGAGTTGAAACGCAAACACACTTTTAAGTTATCAGTTAAACGATCACAGCTTACCTCTTCGTATCGCACCGTTCGCGGTTCATACTTTTTAGTTTTTTCATGTGATATCATAACTGAGGTGGGAACCCCGATAATATTACTTCTACTTTGCAATTGCATCGTTTGTTGTACGGGGTAGGTATCTATAGATAATTGATAATAAACATGGCTAGTATAACATCATTGCGTTTCGCGTAAATCAGTTCTGTGGCTTCGTATAGCGACACACGACGCGTAAAGGTAGACAGTACCACCTATACAATCTACACAGCTGCTAGAGGCATGGATACCGAAATCATCGTACAGGACCTCGAACTACGGTCATTGATCGGATTCGACGGTAATCCACTGAACGGCCTTATACTGCACCCGGATGGCGTTCATCTAGTTTACCCGCTCGGCACCAATATCGCGGCGTATAATTGGCGCACGAAGGCTCAGCGGTTCTTCGAGGGACATACGAACGTGATATCGGCCGTGACAGTGTCATCTTCTGGCCAGTACGTGGGTTCCGGTCAGGTGAACTACATGGGGTTCCGGTCACCGATAATCGTGTGGCAATTCGACACCGGTCAGCTGGTCGCGAAATACGAGTCACACAAGGTGCGTGTCGAGTCCGTCGCGTTTTCGAGCTGCGAGAACTTTCTGATATCGCTAGGCGGCGTCGATGACGGTTCGGTGATCGTTTATGACATTGGTAAGCGGGAGGTACTGTGCGGGTCTTCGTCCGTCAAGTCGACCGCCGGCTCGGCGACGGTGCTCCAGCCAGTGCATACGCGTGGCGAGTGTTTCGTCGTTGCCGGCGACAATATACTCCGGCTGTGGACGCTCAACAGAGAACAGCGGAACATCCAGGGGCTAGACGGTTCGTTCGCCAAGATCAAGCGCAAGATTTTGTGCACCGTTGTCGACCGGCTGGACGAGTACGCTTACTGCGGAACCAGCACGGGTGATGTGATGAAAATCAAATTGAACTTCTCGTCCGACACGGCCGTGGTGGCTCCCACCAACGCACCGACACTGGTCGGGTGCTTTGCCAAGTACCCGCCGGCTGGCAAAAACAAGCGTGGCACCTCTGCCGCTGCTGCCGTGGAACTGTATAGCAAAGGCATCACGGCGTTGTACCTGGTCGCGGACGGCACTATGTTGGTAGGATCCGGGGACGGCGTCGTTGAGCTGGTAAAGCAGAAGGCCCGCGACAGCGGCCGGGGCACGTGTAGCAAGCCGGACAGCACTCGACTGGCAACGCCCACCCGTCCACTGTTGGTGGCCGTGAAGTCGGCCAACGTCGATTCGTCCGTGACCAGCATACAGCTGATGGCCGACGGCATCGTTTTGGTGGGCACCGTTAACTGCGAGCTGTTTGCGATCCGGGCGCACGACTTCGACGTCACCTGCCTGTTCACGTGTCACACGTCCGTAGTGTATGACCTTGCGTTCCCGCATGGCTACAGCAAGGTGTTCGCCACTGCCAGCAAACATGACGTGCGCGTCTGGTCGGTGGACACGCTGCAGGAGCTGCTCCGGATCACCGTGCGCAACTTCACGTGCTCAGGCGTGCTGTTCTCGTACGATGGCGCGCAGATTGTCACGTCGTGGAACGACGGCAACATCCGGATATTTGCACCGGAAACCGGGCGTCTGTTGTACGCCATCAACAACTGTCACAACAAAGGCGTGTCGGCCATCGCCATGTCCAAGGACGGCCGGAAGCTGTTGAGCGGTGGTGGTGAGGGCCAGGTGAGGGTTTGGCAGGTGGACAACCTCAACGGGGCGCTGCAAGCCGTGCTCAAGGAGCACAAGGGTCCGGTGAGCTCGATCGACGTGCACCAGCTGGGCCATGAAGCGATCACGGCCAGCGCGGACGGCACGTGCGTCGTCTGGGACATTGTCCGGTTTACGCGACTGTCCATTATGTTCTCGTCGACGATATTCACTAGCGCCAAGTACCATCCTAACGGCGCCCAACTGCTCACATGTGGTACCAACAGGTATATTGGATTCTGGGAGGCACTCGACGGGTCGTTGATACGTGAGATCGAAGGATCGTCGGCGTCTGCTCTCAACTCGCTAGACGTTACGCCTAACGGTAGGTACCTACCTATATATTATCATATATGATATATACTATACGTAATACATTTTAGGACTGGTGGTATTACAAATTGTTTTCTGTTTTAAAAATTATGTTTGTAATTATTACGATATTATTATTATTGTAAAGGATAAGCACAGAATAGATTAAATTCGATTTAATATATTCTGTGGTACAAGTATCAAATACGTATACGGTATTTTCGGTAATAATGGTAATTACCAAATCACTGTAGACCGGCATTCTAAAATACCCAAAATACTGTAAGTCCTCCTATACCTACATACCGATAACCACGGCCTTGTATTACATACGATTCGTTAATTATTATTATAAAGTTTTAGGGTTTACTAACCGTTATTAAAAAGTTAAAATAATTGAAAATATATTCCTCTTAAGAATAATAGTACACGTTACACATATGACGTATATGTGTACTTACATAAAAATGTCAAAATCAGAATTTGAATAAATTCATTATTTAAGAAAATATGGGTGGCGCTTGTACCCTGCGTCCAGCTACGTAGCATATAAACTGTAGCGTGTAAAGTATACGGCATATTTATAAATATGCAACTATAATTTGAATAATTAAAAAATATAGTAAAAAACAATTCCAAGACATATTCCGTGTTTTATATTTTCACACTTTGTAATATAAAAATAAAAATAAAAATATTTTTGTACAATAAGGGCCGGTATGTTAATAATAGACGATGGTTTATCCTAGGTTCAAGTTAAACCAAAAGCTATGATAAAGATAAACTTTAAAAGAAAACATGTATATAGTTAAATTAATTTTAATTACCCACTTGACTAAGCTTCAAAAAAACTATATATTATTATATTTTGTTCCATGGCTAGCAGGAATGTTATCATAATATTAAGTAGGTATCTATTAACTAAAGTAATAATTTTTAATTTTCAAATTTTAATTTAATTTGTATAGTAGAACTTCATTGTATGTTTCGTGATATAATAATATTACACATTTACCCCATACTATGTTTGTAATTAATGAAAAAACTGCTTAATTAAATGGTGCTTGAATAAAGTAGAAAGTCCAGGGACTGGAACCGTACTGAAATTGAACGGTTTTGGACCGAAACCTTTTGAAAATCTTGGGACCGGAACCTTTAAATACATTTTTTAGGAACGAAACCAAAACCTATATTTTGATGTAGAGGTTTTTACGGTTTTTTTCGGTTCTGAAATCAAATAGGTATTTTATCTATGGTGTAAGTAGGTAATAATTATAAAATCGTAGATCTATAAAAGTTTATAAAGTTTATTAAGTTTATAAATAATATTATTATGTGTACCTAAAACAGAATTGTCATAAAAGAAATACCAAAAATCCAAATTCTAATTTCCATAAATTCGAAATCAATATTATTATTGAATCGCAAATCGCAATTCGCAATAGCTGATGTAGAATTTCTGAAAATAATAGCAATTTGGACGTTTATAAGTGTTTCAGAGTAAGTTTTGTCGTATAAATTATAAATTATAATTGTTACCTCACTTATATGTCTGCAATCTGCATTGATAATATAACTAAACCTAATGCGGGTATCGTTAACTCTTTACTCTATAGTCTATACACTATGCTCTGTATGACTCTTCGACTGTAGCTACTACTGAACTGTAGTTCTTCCCTTTTCGTTACCGCGATATATATTCTTTAAATTTATATTTGTTTATATAAGTCATAAATTATTATATCAAACGAAACATGGGTTGCCCAAGTATGTCAAAAATTCATTCTTATTTTTTTTTTAATAATAATTTTTTATTTATTTAAAATATTAAAATGTATTTATTTATTTTAATTTATTATATTTAATAATTCATTTTTTATAATATTACCAATATTCTGAAATAGTTACACTTAATTACAAATACCTGTCACTAAATAGATGTCACTAATATGTTCATTTATTTATATAGTACCTACTTTATTGATAAAAATAAAATAAAAAAAAAGTCAAATAATAAGGGTTAAAACCGGTAGGTATTAACCAAAACCGAAACCGAAATTTGATATTTTTAAAACCGAAACTTAAATTTTGGGTTTTTGAGAACCGAAACCTAAACCTAAACCGATAAAATCATAAAGGTTTTAGTCCTTGGTTGAAACATGGCTTTTCATCCCTTTCCTAGTTAAGACTAACATTTTCGAATTTTTGGGCGATTCGTAGATCGCCATTAACATGAATGATCAGTCCAGTTCGGAAGATCGCAAGACGCTCCTTCTCCTTTAAAATCCAGATCACATAATTGGTGATTGAAAAATGGTTTTCCCCCTTTTCTATAGTGCCGGTATTTCAATATCTACTTAAGCTAAAGTTTAAGGCTAAGTGAAGTTTTACTATAATTTTCTGGATTTCAATCGCGGTTTAAGTATATCTTAGCGACTTAGCTCTACATATACAGGGTGATTCTTTTATCAAACAACACTCATTATTTCAAATAGTGTAAATTTTTTTGAAGATATTTTTTTACATAGTTTCAAGTCGCTTATAAAACAACGTTTTTATTAAAAAATTATTTTTTTAACTATTTTTTATCCGTATAATTTTTTAAGTTTTTTACTTTTTTGAATGACAACATAGGGTTTTAATTTTATATTCTAAAGTAGAATATTTTTCTTAGTATTTTGATACATGAAAATTGAATTTGGGGCGAGTAGTTTATGAGTTATATGTATTTAAAGTTTAGACGAGCGGTGAAGTGGACAAACATTTCGCGGGGTAACCCCGAACCACTCCACTCCGCTCGTCTAAACTTTAAATACTTATAACTCATAAACTACTCGCCCCACATTCAATTTTCATGTATCAAAATACTAAGAAAAATATTCTACTTTAGAATATAAAATTAAAACCCTATGTTGTCATTCAAAAAAGTAAAAAACTTAAAAAATTATAAGGATAAAAAATAATTAAAAATATAATTTTTTAATAAAAACGTTGTTTTATAAGAGACTTGAAACTATGTAAAAAAATATCTTCAAAATAATTTACACTTTTTTAAATAATGAGTGTTGTTTGATAAAAGAATCACCCGGTATAGCTTCGGTATCTTAAGGAACGCTCTGAGCATAGTTAACGAGTTCATCCTAAAAATGTTAATTTTATTTTTATCTACGGTGCTGGCGCGAGAACTCTTTCTGGTTATATATACCTACCTATATTTCACTAGTTTGTACATTTTACGATATAAGGATTTCCGAGCGATTTTTAAAACTAAGGTAGAAAGTTAACGGGACTGATAAGTTATTTTTGCAAAAATAAAAATTCCGAAAATGTTAGTTTTAACTAGGAAAAGTGAGGAAAATCGTTTTTCAAGAGCAAATTATGTGTTCTGAATTTTAAAGAAGAAGTAGTGTCTTGCGACCTTCCAAACTGGGCTGACCATTCATGTAAATAGTGATTTAGGTAGACAAGAAAAAAAAAATTAGAAAACGTCAATTTTTTTACTTACTTACCTGAATTCAGTCGAGACCTGTTGCTGGTCATTTCCATTACCATTTTACTTGTTTTTGAGTTTTGCGGTAGAAGGATTTCCGAAATAATTTAAAAACTAAGCTAGAAAAATAATGAGACTGGTAAGTTACATTTTTTAAAAATAAAATGTAAATATTATTTTCAACATAAAAAAAGGGGGGCTCGTTTTTCAAGCGCTATTCATGTAAGCAGTTTTCTTCATTAAAAGTTATTTTTTTCACAAATTAAAATCACCATGGTTATGGGGTTACACTATTATATCACGAAACAAAGCAGTTCAAGTATACAAATTAAATCGAAATTCAAAAATTCTAAATTATCACTTTAGTTTACTATAACAATGATAACATGCCGGCTATACAATCTACAATATATGTAGTTTTTTTGAAGCTCATGTAGCCAAGTGGATAATTGAAATTAATTGAAATTAATTGAACTAGGTACATGTTTACATTTTAGGTTCACTTTAATAATAGTTTTTGGGTTATTATTTAAGCCTTAAATAAAACACCATTGAAATACTGGCTCTAAGTGACAGCCTTAACCTTACGTGTTACATATATATTGAAATACCGGGACTAATTGTTATATCTAATTCAAATTGTAATATCTAAATGTAATATCTATTATAACTAATTGTTCATCTTGGGATAATTTGTTGATGTGTAACCTGTGTATATAGTATTGTGTGCCGTTATATATAATAGAATAATCGATAATCCCGCTTTCACAGGGAAGTATATCGTCACCGGCAGTTCAGACCAGATGGTGAAGGTGTGGCTGTATAACGAAGGGGTGCCCACACACGTCGGGGTGGGTCACGCGGGAGTAGTGACCAACGTAAAGGTGAGCCCGGATGGTAGATTCGTGGTGAGCACGAGCGCGGACGGCGGCATATTCTTGTGGCGTTTTCCTCATGCCGCAGACACCGCACCGCCTGGCAGCCGGTGCAGCGCGAATAGCGTCGGCGGTGGCGGTGCAGGCAGTCTACGAGAACAGCAGACAGACCGTTCGAGGCAGCTCTCGCTGAAGAAAACGCTGCCGGCCAGGAAAGAGAATATCAAAGTTATATCCAACGTGCAAAAGGTACGGACGGCCACGGACTGCAGTCGACCGACTGCGGCATCGACGGTGGGCGGTGACGGGAACGCCACCGAAACGGCCGTCGACGGATCGGTAAAATGTCTGTGCCGGCGTGGGTCGACTTGCGTTTGCTGCGACCACAGTGCAGGAGGCCGAAAGACCAAACCGTTCGTACATTGACGAGCGAGTGCGTGCCTATTTTATCTGCAGTGTAAAAATTGTATCATATTATAGCCTATATTTATTTATTTATTTATTTATTTATTATTTATTAACAGGCGGAGCCCTATACAACACTTTCACAATATATATTTTACAATTTACAATTTAAATAATCAATACAAATAGCACACATAGGTTTAAAAAAGAGAATTATAACAATAATTATATAAGTATAATGGTAAGTATTTAGAATTATAAAGAAGTAGTGCCTAATTTTACCAGTCTTGATAAATGGTGCTCTCATTGGCCAACCTCATCATGCGGTGTAAAGGACTATTTCTACCATAATTTGCGGTGTTTCCGAATTGCGGACAAAGTGACAAAAACCATGTGAGTTGCGGACGAAATCTAAAAAGGTAACATACGAATTGCGGACACAAATATAAGATACTAATTGCGGATAATGTTCCAATATTCACGTGGGGAAATCAGTAGAATATCATATATACAGGCTGTTTTAAAAACTATGACGATAATTAATAATGACGATAATCTATAAATATTTTATAAACAATTTTTTCCACAAAATTAAAACAATCTATAATTCAACAACATTTTAAAAATAACGATTGCTCTTTTGCAAGACACTAATATTTTTAACCCCACCTACCAATTTTTTTTTTAGCTATTGTCATAAGTTCTGAAAAAGTGGTGAAGGGAAATATTTGTGTCCACAACTAACGTAGTTTTTATTAAAAAAAGCTCTGTACGCAATTAGTATTATGACAACGAAGCTCGTGTCCGCAATTGTTATATTATAATTCCTAACCTGAATAATTCGTCCGCAACTAGTATGTGTCCATAATTTGTAGTGTGCACAGGAACTACAAAAGGAACGTATATCGGTTTTGACGTGTTGTAAAGTAATATTGAGTTACAGTATTCTAATACTTCTTTGAGTGTATTAAATATACATTTGTTTAAAATATTTTTTCAACTTAGAGTATTTTTTAAGATATTTAAAAATTATTTTAATACATTTTTATTTATTATGTAGTGAATATTAGGTATACAGTATACTGTATACATTAATTATTTTAATTGTTCTTTTTAAGATTTGTCGAAAGTTTTGATATTATTTGTCATAATAATAAGCTCATATTTATTAAGTAATAACTTCTATAATATACTACACTTGAATAGTTTATGAGGCGCATATGTCCACGTGAGCATATGAAACATCTTACATTTAAATTGTTGGTTTCAAACATCTATAATAATGAGTAATGATAAATAGTGGAACAAATCATTGTAACAAATGAGTCGGCCATTTAGTATTTTCAAGAATATAATATTATCGCTACGCCCTACGCCAGCAACGAATTTAAGAACAACAACATTTTGTATTAATAATAATAATGCAACGAAACAAAATACATAATGCGTATAAATGTATAATATGATATTCTTGGAGGTATAATGTATATTTATTATTTGAAGATGTATATTATGATATGCATAACCAATGACCATAGGCGCAAATAGCGTTTGTGATTTGGGCAGGGGCTAAAGCCCTACTATACAGTATAATAAATTGAATAAGTTATAAAAAAAATTAATTTAATGTTTGGCTATTAACATTTTTTCGTAACTTTTTTTTTGGAGCAAAATTTGGCCTGTTTAAATTTTGGGTACCAACTAAAAAACTCAACCTGATTATAAATTGACGTAATGGCAGGGGTGGGCCCACAGTTTTTTTCCCAGTTAAATGTGGTCCCTCGAAATGGCAAACTACATAATCATTTTTTTATTTAAAAAAATTATGAACTGATCAATAATAAAAGAATATTAAATTATAATAATTTATAAATTATGAAATGTACACAGGTTCAAGAATTTTTCTATACAAATATAATTATAAATGTATAAGTATATTAATATTTTTATTTTTTTATTTTTTTTAAAGTTTTCCTGACAGTCATCATCTAAACTTATGTATGTAAAATTAAATTTTTTAATGTTTGAAAATTCTATCACAATATATGGTATAAATAGTAAGAACTAAGTATTAAAGTGTAACAATTTGACAATATGAACGATTACAGAGAGAGAAAAGAAAAAACTTTTTTTCTTATTTACTTATTTGTGTGATGCGTGTTAATTATTTAGGAGTGGGAGTGATGAGGAGCAGGATTTTGTTTATTAGGCATGTTAGAGCGGCTAGGAGTGGGTTTAGGAATAATTTTAACTCGTTAAGGAAGTTAGTGACGATTTGCAGAGGTTGATCGAATGATGGAGTGTTCGCTGTGGCTTCGGAATATGAGGGTTTTCCTTTTGGGTTTGAGCTTATCTCGTCATGTCTACACTTCTGTAAGGTGCAGGTGGAACAGCATGTGTCAGTATATTAATATGATGTAAATACAGACGTGAAGACTGAGTAGCGCCTACAAAATAGTGCTTAAGAGATATAACTACTCGTATGAGGTTTTCGTCGTAGCTTTCATCTTCATAAAGGCATTCCATTATACCGATTACAATTACTTCGAGAATTTCGTGTAATGCGGCCTGTACCTCGTTGCTGTTATTGTTGACAGCCATTTTTGATCACGTATAGATATATGTGTCAGTTTTAATTGAGAATTGCTAATGAGCTAAATACAAGTTTTCCAACACAAAGCGATCAATTCGAAAATCTCACAGGTGACGACGTGTACCTATACATTATTATACAGCCAGATAGTACGTTCATCATTCATCGGCCCGCAGCATTCAATTTTCGAGCACTTTAATTTTTCTAAAGACCATTATTATTATTATTGACATAATATAAGTAGGTACCTAATATTTTGGTACTACGATTTGTATTATTCTGTGACTCGATGTAAACTAAAAAAGCTTAGCCGCTCCGAATCTTAAAGTTAGTCTGTTAACTGTTAAGTTAAATTTTATCATGTATATAAAATGGAAATATAAACAACCAGTGAAAATTTCATGTATCTATACGGTCATTTGTTTTAAAGTTACACCAAAAACCAAAATCGATTTTGCGTAAAAATTCCCGTTTCTCCTTAATTTTTCTTTTGTATTTCTTGGCGCTTTTGAAAATTCTTGGGAATTTTAAATTTTGACCTTCCCAATGCACCCAACAATATTCACTTTCCAATCGAACAAGATACTGAAGTGGAAATTCGAAGCATTACTTCGACTACTTATCGTGTACACAGACACATGATATAATATCATAGTATAAGAAAAACGATTCTGAGCTAAAAAGGTCAGTCAGCCTATGATATTACTAAGTATATTTGATTTAATTTATATATAACCTATTTACGTGGAACCTTGTTTTAAATTTTTAATCCTTAGCTATAAAAGTTGAACATTTTATACATTTTTAAGTATTAAATAATTATTAAATTTTAAGTATGATAAATGTTGTAAAAATTTGAACTTTAAATGCTTATAAAAAAAATTGTGACTATGAATTTTAATATTTTTCAACTGCTACTGTAACATAGTATTAGTATTATAGTATTATAGTATTTATACACTGTATTCATAGAAAAAAGAATAATAACATTGAAAACGCTTTTTTACCCAACAAAACTTAATTGATATTTATGGAAAAAAAACTAAGAAAATTGAAAACTGACAATGTCCGTAAACAGCTCAAAAAGAGTCAATATCTTTTCAAATTTTTTTGGTGTATAGAAAATGAAAATATAAACATTCAGTAAAATTTTCATGTATTTACAATCATTTGCTTTTGAATAACAATAAAATAACAAAACCACTATATCAGAAATCGAGTGAATATCCAATATTGTAAAATTATGAGCTTTAAACGCTCAGAAAAATTTAATTTGATTTGCTTGCAGACAATTTTTTTTGCTTAAGGTAGATAAACTAATGAGTAATCTTGTATTACATTTTCAAAGCTTAGATTTCAAAATAAAAATATTTATGAATTTTCAACTCAAAATAATTTGCTAATTTTCGTGATTTTTCCGTATTTTGTCAAGATTTGAACTTTAAATGCTTATAAAAAAAAATTGTGACTAAGGATTTTTAATATTTTTAAACTGCTACTGTAACATAGTATTAGTATTATAGTATTATAGTATTTATACACTGTATTCATAGAAAAAAGACTAATAAAATTGAAAACTTAAAATGTTCCTAAAAAGTTTTGAAAATTTTATAGAAAATGCAAATATAAACTACCAGTGAAAAATGCATGTATATAAGTTCATTTTTTTAAGAGTTAAACCAAAAACCAAAATCAGTTTTGTAAAAAACCGATTTTGCATAAAAATTCCCGTTTTTCCTTAATTTTTATGTTGTTTTTCTCGTCGCTTTTGAAAACTATAAGGAAATTTAAAATTTGACCTCCTGAATGCAGCAACTAAATTCATTTTCCCATCGAACAAGATACTGTTGAAGAAAATCGAAGCAGTTTTATTGCCCTAAACCGTGATGACAGACACAAAAAAAAAAAAAAATAAAAATAAAAAAAAAAACACATCATTGTAAAATCAATACATTCATCGTTCCACTCAGAATGTAAAATGTACTGTGATACTGTTGTTTATTGAAAATTTTTCTATTTATAGTTTTTCTTACCCCTTCTACTACTTACCGTCTACTATATTAACACCTCAAGAACCTAACTAATCAGAACCACAGATATATAAAAATTAAACTAAATGTATTTTTATATATCTGTGATCAGAACTCTTTTTGAAATAGGGCTTCGTCAACCAGGTTAATAATGTGATAACGTTTTTCAAGAAAATGAGTCCGGAAAAAAATTGGCACAAAGAAGTGTTAGCTTAACTATGGTCTATGCCTGAATACCGGCTATCAAATTTGGCCATATTGAGCATAGAAAGCAACATATAGCTCAAACCATTGATTTTGATAAAGTAACAAGTAATTTTAACTAATGAAAAAGCGCAGAAAATTATTGTAAAGTTTCAGTTCTTTACTATTATTTTTATCTAAATACAATTTTAAAA